TTAACAATATTCGGACCACCCTGCTGCTAAAATGACAAGACGACGATAACTAAGTAAGTATACTTACATGATAATACTGGTATGCCTTCCTTGGATGTGCTAGTTTTTCTCCAGTGTCATGCCCTACACCAATGCTACTTGCATCTACTACGAGGAAACGTTGAGTAAGGTTAAAATCTCCAAAAAAATGAACCTAAATGATATTTAAAATAATAGAAATATAAAATAACGTTAGCAAAGATCGTATTTCCTAAAAGCACCCTAGAAAGAGTTTAACGTTAGGCGTCGACCGCAACTCTTCGAGACAGTAAGTCCGTTACATACTCACACAAAGAACTAATCCAGGGGCTTGCCAACAATATATGTAAAACATACTCTTCAACAGGGACATTGAGCGTAAGTTAAAAACTCAAAATACTGTATATATATACTCCTTTGTTCTACAAATAAAGAACTTCGATATTAATCTTTTCATTTTCAACTTTTTTTTTAAAAAATTTTTCATAGAAGGAAAAAGGAAGCGAAAACATCCCTGCTGGTTGCCTCTCACTTTCGTGTTCTTCACACACGACTTCCTTTTAAAAATCTCGGTTGATAAAAAATAACTGATAAAATGAGCTTGATGTTAAAAAAAAAAAGAAAGGGTTTGCAAAATATAAATTATATAATGAATATATAGGATTCTTACGCGTTACGTCACGTAATAAAAAGTATGTCAAATGAAGCGTGTTGATTAATACAAGTTCGACTGTGATACTGTAGAGTATGGACATTTCTTTTATTTTATTTATTTTTGAGTGATCGATCACCTATTATCGTTCCTGAAAACTATTCTATGTATATTTTAAAAATATAATTTTAAAGAAAAAAAAAATTTTTTTTTTTTTTTTTTATTTTATTTTTTTTTTGGTATTAGTTTTACTCGAACCCAGTATTCGAGAGTTGAATGGTCAAGTGCTTTATACCGCTATACTATAACAGCACCGACATAATTTTTAATTTTAAATTAATATAAATCTCAGGTTTGCTATTAAAATCACGTTACGGATCATATGATTTACTATTTTCGTAACTCGATTTTAAATAGCAAACCTCCCATATCACATGATATTGTTCACCTGATTGAGTTAAAGATTTTAAACCAAATATTTTTTTAATTTGGATGTTTCTTTGGTGATATTTTTCGGGGATGATTATATTTTCATCATCTGGTACATAATGTGAAAAAATTTTCTTTTCTTTCATCATCTTTCTCAAAAAGCATTTTTTAAAATGTCAACAAAATTTAGCTTTATTAGAAACAAAGCAATTGGGCTTGTCTGTGCAATAGATAAGGTGCATGTAAATTTTCGTATACATGACCAGGACAAGCAAACGGCCTTTTTATTTGCTTTTGAATCATCCGATGTAGCCAAAAAAAGAACTCACGAAAATTATATTCTTTTTGCAATTGAATTTCTTAAAATAAATAAAAGTAGTTCTAATCATCAAAATCTTTTTTATTCATTATATATTTTGGTAATCACGAATGTTCATGGTACATCTTTAATATTTCCGATAAACCCAGATGACCAGATGATTCCTAATGACCCAAATGACATAGGTCATCGTGTCATGGGTCATTTTTAAATGACCCAAATTCCAAATGACAAAGTATGATTTTGACGGTAATTGAAAATTAGCCAAATGGCCAAGTCATTTGTCATCACTGTTCAAATTTGTGTGACTAATTTTTCCTTTCGTCGACAACTGATACGAATGAATCACAAAATAAACAATCATTAGCAAAAGTTAGTTTCTGATCGAACGTAATTGAGTGTCAGAATTATTTGAGAATTACTTTCCGACGACGTGTAAATTCCTTGAGAATTACTTAATCATGTTTTAAATTGTTTTACATCGGAATCGAAATAAGAGTCGGATTTTGCACAAGACCGATCCCTTTTTAATACAAGTTCCAAAATTCAACATTCCACCAAGATTTATAGCTTTCATTCCTTTATCCGTACAAAATTTTTGAAGTTTCAATAAATCATTAGACTAAAGTTATTAAGCTAGGTCTTGTAAGAGCTGTGAGAGTGTTTAAAATCTAATAAAGTGTGCACCACCAGATATTTATCCATATAATATCGATTAGGGATCGTTTGACAGTAAGTCCACGATTTCTGAGAAAATTATCCATGATGTTTTGACATGCCTTGAACCTTATTCTTTGTAGCAACTAATCATTTCCAAGTTCCCCCATGTGATTAAACAAATTTTTGAACGGTGATTTTAGAATTTTTGTTCGAACGCCTTTATTATAATATAACGTATCATATTTAATCTTTTTAATGACTCAAAAAAAGATTTATTGTACAGTACATAGAAAAAACGTTCACACTACAACGGAAGCCAAATAAAATATAATGCAATTATCAAGCAAACTTCGATCATAAGATCTTACGATATCGAGTGATTCTATGATTTAAATTATGAAATAAATTTGGAATTTTTTAAATTATGGTGACTAAGATTTAAGATACATTTAAGGAAAATTCTGCGGCGTACTGTGAATTACAGGAAAACATCGTCCCTGTGCCAGATATGTTTTCATTATAGTTTTAACTTTAAGTGGTTCGACATTTTTTATTTCTTTCCATCAATGGATTGAAGAAAAAGGAGTATTAACCAACCACATCAGTTACAACATGAAACGAATGTGTTACCCTTGGTCATGTTTTTTCTTCTTCATTCTTCTTGGATCATTTTTTTTTTTTTTGTTCCTTTTATCATCTCCTAGAATATTAGAATCATTATATTTGCGGAATAAAATAATAACTTTCGATTAAAGTTCGTTGGATTTTGTTGAAATGCCGGCATCGTAGGCTTAAATTAACGATACGATATTACGTCGGATTATCAGCAACAAGGATCAAAAGATTTGGAAAGATTTTTATTTAAGGGTATATTGTTTTTATGATAGATTAACAAATCCAAACCGGTCAAACTTGTCTTGGTTGAAAATCCACGTAAAAAAAATTAAGATTGCCACTGTCACAACCACCACATCCAATATTCCCCATTTTCTGTCGTCTTCATGAACAAGGGTAAAAGGATTGTTTAATTTATTTATCTTATTAAGGAAATAGTCAAAGAAATTGAAGAAATGCACTTACTATGATAATGATATTCAATAAACTTTGCGATTTCTCGATCTTGATCATCTATAAACTTGAGCGTATCATTTATGTATGAAGCCTCAATAACTTTGATCACAAATTTCTCTTCTGAGGATTCCTTATATGTTTTGACTTGTTTCTTAACTTTATTTTTAGAGACATTTCTGGTTGATCGTGTGGAATTCGTGTTAAGACAATTCGTTTCAATTCTAATGTAAACGCCATGCTCCGATCCAAAAACCAGATCACCAACTCCATAATGATCATAATATTGATAACCTTTCTTAATACACCATTCATAGTCAACAAGATAATGAAAACCGGGTAAAATCTTATCAATATTATCAATTAAATAATTTTTCACCGCGTCTTCCGAATGATAACCGTTATAATTTAACTTCCATCTCTTCCTTTTTTCCTCATCTAATTTTTTCAACCTTTTAATGAAAGGCTGAAACCATGTTTTACATGTCATCAAAACATCTCTCAAGGTATCCTCCCTTTTATAATCAACGTATATATACGAACAAAAACGGTGCGTGACTTTAATGTTATTCGATCGAAAAGCTTCTTGAAGTAATCGATCAATAACGAAACAACCATAATCATGATATCCTAAAAAAAGGGAAGGATTTTTTTGTTCGAAAGGATGGGATAAGATTTTTGAACATATTTTTAAAACAAAACTTCTTTGCGATTCATCGTAAATATTAACTCGAAAGAAAAATGACGAAAAGTATTCCATGTTATAAATTTTATAAAAAATAAAATTATCAAAAAAAAAAAAGGTCATTCCTTTTTATATTGATTTTTGTTTACCAAATTTGGGAATTGATAAGCCTCATCATGTGGCGGTTTTCTATTTTTAAACTCAAAATTTTTTATTTTTTACCAGGTGATATACAGCATGAAATTACACATACTGGAATAGAAAATAAAATAAATAATTTAAAGTAATTCAGGTTATTTAATGATGGCATTTAGCAATTTATCAAGCTTGTCATTAAGTTCATTAACTACACTCTTGAGATCTTCAACCTTATTGTCAAGCAACGTAACCTTGTTCTTGATGTCACTGTTATCTTCCACATTCTCGAAACCTTTATTATCATCAGATTTCATCTCATCATCTTCATACGGTAAGACCGTATCTATCATCTTCTCTTCGTAATAATCATACAATTTGTTATTCTCGGATTCTCGACTTCTAACTTTTGAATCCCAATCTTTATAACTTTTTGATTTACCCAAATAATAAATATATTTTGGTTCTGGAATCGGAGGATCGAAATATATTTGTTCTAATGCTTCATAATCCGAAATTGATTCGGCACGAAATCTTAATAAAGCGGAGCGACCTTTTGTATATGCTTCAGCATATACACCCCTGATAAAAAATCATTGATCATTAAAAAAGAAGAGTGATGCTTAACAAAGTTCAAAAAAAAAAAAACTCACCATATGAAGGCAATAAACATATTTTGCAGAATAGTTATCAAGAGCATGCTGCCAAATAACGTGATGATTTTTACCTGCCAAATATCCCACGTATCTTGTTGCAAAAACTCCCCATTTAACCAATTATACGTTGAAATAAATGAAATTATATAATTTCTAGCTGGATTATTTTCGGTTTGATCAAGTTCTGTAAATTCGGGATGTTGTAATAAAAGTAAAAAACTATGCGCTATTCCAGCTATTACAAGAATTACAAATACAAGGAATATCCAAGTCTCATTGATGATATTTAACATAATGTAGATATATTTCGCCGGTTCTTTTGTTTTTTTTTTTTAAAAAAAAAAAAGGTTGAAATGAAATGATAAATGAATTGAATTTGTAAAAATTAAGTTTAAAAAATTAAACATAAAGTATTAAATTATGATATTTTTACCTGATAATAATCGAAGGTATAAAATCTAATTTAAAATATATAAGCATGATACAATTTTTAATTTTCATTTCAAATTTTATTGAAAACATATGAAGGATACTCACCAATTCAAACCAAAGCAATAACATTGTGAAAGTGATAGTAGCGGCTATTCTTCGGGTTGTTACAACATTAGCAAATGCATCCTTAGAGCTAAATGAAGGAGCGGCATAAATTGACATTACAATAATCGCTATAACAACCGAAATCAAATCTACAATATTAAAGAGATTAAAATAATGTCTCCAACCATAATGGATAAACTGTTTTAATTCTACGATCAATAAATAACCTCCCATATAATAAAATAAAATAAAAACAAATATTAAGAAATCACTAGTCGATCCCGTTGCTTCAAAATGTGATAGATAGGTTCCACTAACTACCGCAAAACAAGTTGCAAATATGAAATACCTAAAAAAAAGTTGAAGGAAATAATTTCTTGCCGGACGCCATTTATAATTAATTACAGCTTCCATTACCGGATTATTAAATATCTCATCATCCTCTTCTAATCTAATGATCTGAACAAATGGACTAAGTAAATGACTTTCCTTAAAACTTCGAGGGATAAATAATAATCTAAAAAGTTTTATAATATATGAACTTTTGTCACTTTCCACTTTTTGAGATGTATTATTAACAGTGAAATTGTATAAGGGGACCATTTTTACAGTTGGAGAGTACTTTAATTGTTCATTTGTACAAATTTTTACCCAAATTTTTTTCAGTCCCAACTCTAAATTATCTCCTAGAACTTTTGGACTAATTTTTTGTTTACTTGTTGAAATGAGTTTCGAAATAGGATTAAATGCCAATAAATCCTGTTTCGTATTTAAAGTAACTTGATATCGTTTAGGTATAATATCAGTGTATTCAATGATATTAGATATTTCTATCCCCTCCATGCATCTTTTATAAAATAGTTCGCTCACATAATGTTCTACCAAATGAAAAGTTTTTTTAATAATTAATAATAATAATAATAATAATAATAATAATAAAGTACAAACCTAATTTAAATTCATATAAATATGGTAATGCGTCTGGAATAGTGATTAACCATCCGGGATGTTCGGTTGCCTTTGTTGCGTAATATTCAAGTAAATACGTTACGATTAAAATTCTACGGTTACGCTCTATATCTATTATAAAAGTATTTTAATTTAATCAGTAAAATCCTAAAATTTTATAAAATTTTAATAAAATCAAATTACCTGGTTTACATAATTTAATGGCTGTTTGTAAATCACTATCGGGTTTTGGTAAATCACTTTCGGAATTATTAGAATCAACCCATCGAATTGTTCTTGGTATATGCAAATATTGCTTTTCTTTTCCATCACCAAATAAAATATGTTTGATAAGAGGATTTGATCCACTATTTATAATCTTGTTCATAAGATTATAACGAATATCCATCATTCTCCAAATATCTGGATAATTTTTGATAAATTTCCAAATCATGGCAGAAATATTACTTTTAATTTCTTCAAATGCTATTTTTTATAAGAAAAATTTAAGACTTTCTTGGAAAAAAGAAAAATGAAGATGAAACTATTAAAATGGTACCGTGTTGATTATCATATCCAATTAAATGATTACTTTGATCATTTAAATATTCAAGAGCATCACAAGCATGTTGTATTGGGATTTTATGATTCTCAAATGGCCATTGAATTTGAAATTCAACATTTGTTTCTTTCCACTTAAGTTGAAAACCATTATCATAAACGATTAATTTCGTTACTTCCAATTGATCATTATTATCAGCCCAAAAATATTCGAGAGCAAATTTGTGATTTTTCTTCATAGTTTTACGCCACACTTGAATGGTATTTTTTCCAATATATAATTGTAATGATCCTTCTTTATCAAGATATATCCACATTTTATTTTCAAAAATTTGGTTATCCCATGGTTCGCAATTGTGTACGAGTGGTTGTGCTATTCCTGTACTACCCTGATGAAAAATGCTAACATTTTCACATTTCGATTTAATCATTTCATTTGGTTTTCCTACTTGGCTTTTATCAGTAGAAAAGACAGTACTATAAGGCGATACTAAAATTTGATCTTTTTTAGGTTTGATCTCAAGTATACTATCATATATTGACAAGATAGTACCGTTAGAAGTCACTGATACGAACTTGCCGGGAATTTTTGCATTATATGAAGGATTCTCATTACCCTCATCCAACTCAATACCATCACAGATAGATCGAAATCTATTCTTTGAAGAATTAAATAAATCCCAAAGTAACATTTCCCCACGCTGACTTTGGGATGTTTTGATAATTATCATTAGTTTGTCATCATCCTTGAATTCACAAGCAATGATTTTTGTATCCTTTTCAAAACTTTTGTTAATGATCTCTAGACCATTTTCTATCAAATAAAGGGTCAACTTTCCATTTCCGGAAGAAAAAGCAATGATTTGCTCATTTTTCGAAATGGCCAATATAGGTTTGCTATATTCGTTTGAATATTGCTTATCTTCATGCATATTAAAAATTTGTCGTATTTGCATGGTCTTTAAATCATATAATTGCATGACTTGAACCCCTTCTTTATATTGTTCAATATAAAAATAATGATCAAATACGGAATTCTTGATTCGTGAGATGCACGATTTTGTCTTGCGTAAATTATTTAATTCATTTTCAAGTCTTCGCGGATAATTAAAATGTTCCAAGCCATTTAAAATATTATCACAAATCGTACGCCTATGAATTCCGCCAGCATTAAAAATGAAGCAATAATTATCATGGGTGGATTTATCATGAACAAATAAAACAACACCTCCCATATTTTCCATTTTGTAAATATTAGGTTCGTTATTATCCTTTTCATTTTTTAAATTTAACTCTATTTTATAAATAACGGTTTTTCCACTTGAAGGTTTACTTTCACTAAAATTGCACTCGTCAATCTTAATTTCTTTAATTTCCGAAATATTATCTTTATCTAAATTGTTTGATTCATCATTCCTGACCAACATGTCAGATTCTGTCACACAAGATATTGCTACAAAGATCACACCTTGTTCAATTTGATTTGATATGGCCAACATCCATTTTGAATACCTTTTGCACCCATCAAAAAGATCTGTCTTAATATCATATAACTTTGCTTTACCAACTTGATCATACTTTTCAAATTCTATGATTTTGAACTTTTGAGTTACTTCGACATATACAAAAAAAGAATAAACCATCTTTAAAAAAAAAGGTATTTCACTTTGACAATTAATTAAAAATATTAGATATGTTGAATTACCATGATTAAATACAAGGATATATTTTCCATCGGGACTAATGGAAATGTGCCAATCCGAACTTTTTTGTCCTAAATAGTATGAGATTCTCTTCTCTTTTTACAAAGTTTTTGGTTAGATCTATAAATATACACATATCAATGATAATATTGATAATTGAATAACAACTTACTTTCTATAAGGTTGTCATTAAAAAAAAAAAGAAGTTTCATTAAGTCCAGCACAAAATAATTTTGATGTGATAGAAATAAATTATATATAACTCACGAACTACAAGATTATCTAATAAATACTTTTGTTAAAAACTTATAAATTATATAAACAAGTGAAAGTAAATGATATAACTTTGAAAATCACATTAGTTAGATTTATAAATTTTACACGGTATGTAAATCGAATTACTTACTGACTATGGTATTATTGAGAATTTCAATAAATTTCGTTAAGTAAATTCTTTAACATTAATAACTTACACTATAAGAGTAAGTACTTACAGCCTACATCAATATTATTAAAAAAAAAAACAAATATTAGTTAAACTAAATAAGTTATGAATAATAACAATAAATATGTAACTTACTTGCTATTTATATAGGAATCGGTGAAATTAAATGATTATATTATGCATTCACAATAATTAAGTTAAATACATAAATCGCTAATTAAAGACTTAAATTACATTAGTAATAATACAATTGAAATTAAATAAATGACTTACCACCTATTTAAGAAATGTAAAAAAAAAAAAAAAAAAAAATAGTTAATAATTTTACATCATTTGCGTAATTCATACACTTTTTCAATTTGAAATATCGCTTTATTTAATACATTTACCTCCGAACTTAGCAACTTCATTGGCATCTTCGACGTTCATAATATATTCGCGAATTTTTTTTATAAATCCTTACTACTCGTCAAACGTTTACGTATATGTGTTAAATATCTATTTTATTAAAATATTGAAAAAAAATTTAATGCTATAAAAATTACCGGTCATAAAAAATTTTCAGGAAAAAATGAATTTTAAAGTTTCCAGAGGAACGTTAACAAATAAAAAATGAACAGTTAAATATTTTTTATCAAATATGTCGTGCATGATGATCGACAAAATGCGCATTTTTGTTATTGATTCGGGTTTCAGAAAATTCTATTGTTGGAGGTTGTGGTACCAGCCGCAGTAATCAATTGAAGTCGACTTTTTAAATCGCGACTAATGTTTTTAAGCCCGACCGTGTAACGGAACAACAGACTGGGTTCGTTGGCCGAATCGCCAACTTACCAGTTCAAGAAAGTTCCGTTTGTCGAACTAAGACATTTAGGGGTTAATGCAGGGTATCCGTATTTGCATATTGCATCATGTGCATTTTGACATATTACGAAAAAGATACTTAGGGATTCAATGATTGAAAGTTTTTTTATTTATTTATTTGTAAACAAACTGATTTAAAAAAAGGTAATTTTGAATAATGTGTAAATAAATGACCATTTTCTGTTAATAACAACAAATCGTGAACATAATTGGGTTTAAACGATTCTTTTTGTCAGTGATAATGTTAGCTGCATCGGAAAGAGGCTTCCGGATGGAAAAGTGTAGCAGAATCTACGAGCTTGCTTGGATAATAAAAGAAAAAAAACTTTTCCTTCACGCATCATTGTAAGGGATCATGAGGTAAAACAGATAAAGTAAATTCCTGTAATGACTTGGGATGTAAGCGGTAGTGCTCCGTAAGGGTCGAACTCGACCCGTTTAATAATTACAAAACCCGAATTCGACTCGACCTGATCATTTTTCAATCCGGATTCGCAAGGTAATATTAATCCCATGTTGAAATGACCCCAATGACACATTACTAGTCATTTGAGTCATTTGAGAAACACCTGTCAGAACACTTGTTGCTTTATAAAAGAAAAAATGTATTAATTAATGTTTAATAGTCGATATTTTATTTTTCTATCATGGTTAAATGTGGATATTGGTTAAATTTAATTGAAATTAAATAAATTAAAATTTTTTATATTTAGTAAAAATATGATCTAAAATTACATCATATTCATCATTAATATTTTCTACTTCTATATCAGTAATTAGCCGATCGAGTCGATCCAGGTTGTTTGAGTCGGGACTATCATTGAGTCCTAACTCAATATGACCCGTCGGGTCAGGTTTTGCTTGACCCGAGTCGATCCGGGTCAACCCGGGTACCAGGATTCGACTCGAATTTTCAAAGTGTAATATTAATGCCGAAAATAAAAAAAGGTTTATTAATTTTTAAAAATTTATTATTTTTTTTTGTGAGCACTAATCCTAACTTTTTTTTACATCTTTTTCCACCAGGATTGCAAGCACATCAGGTCGGTTCCGCCAGAAAACTCGTTTTACTGGAACACTTGTTACTTTATAAAAATGTATTAGTTAATGTTTAATAATCGATAATTTTTTTTTTGTAATTGTTCACTCCACAATGCTTTTCGTTTCTAAAAGAAGTTGTACTATCTATCGGTAACGTCGATAGGTTCACTCATGATTTATTTGTTACAAATTAAAGTTGCGTAACGTAAAACAAAAAATCTAGATATAGTTTGAAATCAGTCATCCGGGTTAAACAATTGGATCGAGTCAAATTCAAGTTCTGTAATTATTAACGGGTTCGAATATGCCTTAAACGTAATAGCTGGTATATGGTCGGCGTCATAAATATTAAGAACTAATTCTTTAGCATAACGAATTACAAGTTGTCTCCATATTTTATCTTCATAATAACCAAGCTTAACTAAATACTATAATATTATAATTCATTCTATTTTTTTATATTGCTTAAAAAAAGTTTAACATATCGAAGTGAGAACGCCGTGTATCTATTCATGTGATACGAGATTTTATTAAAAACATTTTGTAACTTTTTTTGATGAAAGATTTTCTGTTACACAGAACTTCTGCATTTAAATTGTTTGTAATTTTGTATTTGAGGAAGACTCACCGATCACGTGATAAATGCTTTTGCGTTTCTTTTCTAATATACAGTAATAAAACAACAAAATAACAAGAATTTCTGAAATTTCTGAGGACAATTTTAAATGAAAGAATTAAATTATTTATTTTAAAAAATTTCATTGACAACATAAATGTACATCACAATTTTTTTTTTTATTTCTATTGTAGAGAGAACTTCATATTTATCAGAACAGATCTAACAGATAAGTAACAATGAAAGAGGTGATTCTCTCTACATTGTAAAATGTAAACACTCGGGATTGGTTTGGTGTTCAAAAATAAAATAAGTTTCATAAAAAAAAGTTTCTTCCTGATAAAATGAACGCGTCGTATCAAAGAAACGACGAATTTATTATAACTGTTGAATTAAACAAACAGATAAAATAAAAATTAACTTAAGAAAAGGTATAACGTTTATTAATTACTTTCTCTATACGAAACATAGTTATGTTTTTTTTAATACATCACGGAAAATTATCACGCCTCTTCGATTCAAGATTTCCAAAAAACAAATAAATTTGGCATCATTTTTGAGTTTATCTTTTAGATCAATACATCTTTTCGTAATCTTTCAAAAAGCGCTCCGATTATTTGCTTTGTTTGTCCTTTGCTCAATTACAAATAGAAATTTCATAAATATTAATTTTCGCTAAGCAGGACAAATTTACACCGCATTCGTTGCGCTCACACGCTCTGTTATTATCAGCAAAAAAAAAAAAACAAAGAAAAGGCCCTGCTAGTTCAGTAAAAGTATATAAATAACGCTTGAAAGCATCTTTCGTTTCATACATACATCAAATTGCCATGTATTTTTCAAATAATTCAAGTTTATTCATTGTAATCTCAGCACTTTTGTGATTTTCTCACACTCGTAATCACTTCTTATTCGGCTCCATTTTCTTCTCATCCTCAAAAACGTGCCTTTTCAGGTACTGCTACATATTACGAACCGGGTTTAGGTGCATGCGGTGTATTTTCATCAAGCTCTGATCTGATAGTAGCGGTTGACGCTGCTCAATTTGGTGACACGCCAAATCCTAGCGAAAATCCAATATGTGGTAGAAGCGTTATTATAAACGGTCCACAAGGAACCGTTACTTGTCAAGTTGTAGATAGGTGTCCTGGATGTTCTTTTGGTGATTTGGACTTATCTCCAGCCGCTTTCGAAAAAATTGCCGACCTAGAACAGGGTATAGTTCCGATCACTTGGGATTTTATTTGATTGTGGGAATAGCGAGGTGAATGATGATGATGATGATTAAGATAAAAGTATTATTCAATTAAATTCTTTCAATTCCAGGTACCAATAAAAAGCATGCAATATAAATGGTTTAGAAATATAATTTTTCTGATACTCCTTTTGTTAATTTATTAATTGTATTTCTTTTATTGGATGAAAAAATGTATTTCTTTTTTTTTTTTTTTTTTTCTTTAATAAATATATAATGATTATGCCCCCAAAAATTTAATTTCGGATGACATACAGTAATGTTTTTCATAATTTTGGATAATTCATAAATGTGGGTAAAAGTTTAACGGGTACATTTGAGGTTTAAGTTCATCAATTGATAAAATAAAAATGGTTAAAATTAGCGCGAAAAAATTAATTTTTTATTTCAACTGACATTATTATTGCTTTAAATTACAAAATTCTCTTTTCGAAACAAATAAAAAAAAAAAACTAAAGAGAATGACTATGAATATGATAACCTTCATTGTTCATTTATAATTTACCAAGTTAAAAAGTGAAGCGTGTGGGTTCAAGAGCCAGCCCTTTCCTTTTTCTTATAAGTTATCATGATAAGTAAAAATGAAATACTCAAATAAATGATTTGCATTTTTTTAATTAACTGTATATTATTCATTCATTCACTAAAAATTCTTGTACATATCTTCCAAAAAGCTGTTTTTTAACAAAATATAATCTCTTAACACTTTTTTTTTTGCT